TACTTTCTTAGTTGCTTGCACATACACTAAAGTCGAGATGCTCACTTTGTGTACACACTTATAGATGTTTTGCAGATTTTCCAGACGGGGAAACCATAGATGTATTATGACAAGAACTTAGTTATTGCTCAGAAGCATTTACAATGAAGGATACCCACTGTTTATCCTTTTTAACGATTTCGTCTGTTTAAGTAATGTCTCATGGAAGACTTCAGTTTTCCTTAGTTTTGTTGATTGGAATATAACAGATTTCATTTTTCATTACTGGGTTTTCACATCCCTTAACCATATCTTATACTTGTATCTTTACCATTTTAAATGGCTTTTCAAATTACAAAGCATAAGCATTTATGAGTCATTACCTATTTTTTATTATCATAAAGCTTTTTTTCAAAATCAGAAACACAACTTTTATGTCCTTATATAGCAAACATAGTAAACTGTTTGGTATGAGTTATCCTTATACCGGTAATAGTTGCACATGGAGGCTGTACAGTGACCTAGAGTTGGAAAGCTGTACTGAGACCTTATAGTTGGAAGGCTGTACGGTGACCTATAGTTGCATGGTTGTTATGTATATTACATCCATCGCCTTTGGTTTTTGATTGACAGTAGTCTAATTTGCTATCATACAGCATTTCCTTACTTTCCTATAAGTTTTTTTTTGTATTGACATTTTGTAGATGTATGTATTTACATTTGGCATTGCACAAAATCATGTTTTCTGCATTGTACATGTCATGGCTACTGTAGATTCAGAAATGTTTTGTGATGTTTTCATGATTGCCAAAATTGCTACTGAAAAGTTATAGGTAAAATTTTGCTAGCATTATTTGTATGCAGCAATTCCTGAAATTGAATCAATTTATCTCACAGTTTCGTACTTAGTTCAACAATCGCTATCATAAATGGACACACAAATTTTTGAACGCATATTCAAACAAATAGTGAAATCTTTGATTGGCTAATGGCTGTTAATCATCCAACAGCAAATATTACAGATTCAGGGTAATTACATGTATATGTTACATGAATTGACAATGCTTTGTACTAGACTAACACTCTTGTGTCAGTTTTTTTAAAGTGCTAGCTTCTACAAGGTAACAGTCCACAGGAGAGCACATCACCATTCTTATACATATTATTGTAACTAAGATTTGGTTCTTTCTCCTTAATGCCATGTGCTAACCAAAGAACAATCAATCTCATATACTCAAAGCGATCATGCTACCATAAAAGCACAGAGACAATTTTCAATGTACTTGAAACTACAGTAGATAATATCAAGGTATAAAAAGGTATAATTTTATCATCAGCAGATTAAGTCACTGAGCTTAATTTCATGCAATCTTTGATATGGTATTATCCATTATGGATTTATTATTGTTTAACTTGTACCAATGTTTTTTGTGTATGTTAAACCTTTATCATAGTGTGACTTTAGTGTCAAGCACTTTTTCTGAACTGATTTTTATTGTCTGTTCTGAACAAGATAAAAATGAGGAAGGTTGAGTAATAAAAAAAATACTTTTACAAGGCTACATAATAAGGAACCTTCTCGTTGTTTGTGATTTGTTTATCTCAAGTCAATGTTTTTGTCCTTTGAAGAAATTGTTGTTGATGTCAGATAATTAATAGTTTCTTTAATTTGTTCACATTTTTTCTTAAACTGAGAGCTATTAAGGAGTAATACCACCATTGTTTATCCCCTATTACTATTAGTCTTTGTTAAATTTGCACTTTTCCAAAAATTGTGCAGAATTTATCTTTGTTTCAAATAAAGAAATACTTGGCATGAGAAAGTTTTATCCTATCCAGTACTATAGACAAAATTTCACACAACATTTCATTGCATATAAGATAATAACCATCACTGGAAGTTAACAAATCAAATTTTCACGCCTTTTTTCATGTTTTCAAGCTTTAGTAACCATGTAACCTCAAGTTTCCAAAATATTTTATAGAAAAACCAAATAAAAAAAGAATGGTGCTTCGAAACACCCAAGATATATGTTTATGACTCAGAAATATTTTGCTCCAATGAAATGTAGTATTAATTTCCTACAACAGTCAAATTCAAGGGAATATTTTTTTCAACCCTTTTTCGTATGAAACCGGATGTGACATACTATGATTTGGTGGTATTACTCCTTAAAAGTTTGAAATATGGTAAAAATATTGTATGCTGACCTCTAAATGTCTAATGGTTATTGTATTTTTTTGGTTGCTGTCTCATTGATAAAAATATATTTTAAACAAATAATACATTAAAATGTTTTCCAACTATTGTGCGTAAAATATATATCAATGAATCCTTCTATTCTTATTGACACAAGTAACTCTAAAAATAATTTTATATTCATTTTATTTTTGAGGATTGATACCTCCATTCTAGTCCAACAATCAGTTGACAGATAAATGGTACAAAATATATAGATGTACTTTTATATACACTATGTCATGTTGATTATAAATATACATCATATCACATTTATATCTGTATAATTGAATTCATACTAAAACAGTTGTAATTGATCGTTAATTTTTAAGCTATTTTTTTCAGTAAACTGTCTGTTGAAACTCAGTATTGTTGTTTGATACTATCAATCTGATAAAAATGAAAATTAATTTTCTATAGTTCACCTGATTTTCAAGTGATTAAATATTATCTACATAAACATAAAAGGTTATTTAAATCAAAAAGTTTAAATTAAATCTAAAATTAATTACTTACATGTGATTTTCTTGAACATTTCCAATACAAATGTGATGTGGACAAAAACATCAAAGATGACAATTGACTTAAATTCTTTATGATAAACATTAAGGTATATGAGGTATGGTTTTATTGCAACTTAATATTTTTTCATGAAATATGGTGAAAGATTAATTATGAAAAGTTATTACAATTCAATCATATTGCTTACAATGAATGACTTGAAAATATTCCAAAAGTGCAACAAATATTATCAATGGTGTGTGTATTAACGTTCTGATATTTCAAACCATATATACAAATTTATTTTAAAACAATATTAGACCTTACAAGTGACTAAGTGCATAAAACCAATAAAAAAGGACAAAAGTGCTTATTTTTAGCACCAAATAAAACCCCTTTTAGTTCCTCTGTCCCCATCTACCTGAAGGTCAGATTCGACCTTCATAGCATTTCCAGTAAAAAACAGTCATTGGGAAATGACAGACTTATGAAATATGAAAAGATAATCAATAGTTAGTTAATCAGGCAACCTTGGATAATTTTGGAGGGACACCTAAAGGAGTGAAAGCGTGTGGATATTAGGTCAAATATCACCAAATAAAAATATTTCAAAGTCCAGATTAATTACAATGTATTATTTAAAGTGATGGGCCAAAATCAATCATATATAATTGATTGCTGTGCACACATTACCACTAATAGTTAAAACTGAAAAAGGTTCAAAGTTCAAATTTTAGTTATCCATATCACCTATCAGCTACAAAGAACCACTACACCATCTAACCACCATATTGTCTTAAACATAAAAACGATATATGTTCGTTATAAGGTTTGTAAATTTGCATACAAAAATACATCTTTTAATTAAGAAATAACTTGCTGGTCATTAAACATTCATCTGGAAAAATAATATAAGCAGACAAAAACAAATGAAAAAATTATGAAGAACAAAATCATCATGACTTTTTTACAAATGTTAAAATAAATTTACTACTAATAATACATAAATATATTTGTAGATTATGATTTGAACTGAAGAAAAGTAAAATCTCATTATAATGCCACACATTTCTTCTCTCCCCTTGCTGAGAAGATAACTCTATTATATTTCAATACCTGGGTCCATGATTTGATGGTGGCAACTGTTATACATATGTCTAATAATTAATGGTAATACAACCTTGAAAAAAAAATTAATGTTTTTTTTATAATTCATAGCCACAAAAACAATTCAAGAAGGTGTAAAAATGTCCTCCACTTATCAATCCTAGAACATTTTAATTTCAAATCAGAAAAGATGTCACAAAAAATTAGCTTTCAGACAAAACTGACACTGAACTTGTCACAAAAATGTTGCATCACAATTGGTGAAATGTTCTTGTTTCCAAAATTTGGTTAAGTTCCATTATAGCATACCCCCACCATTAAATTGTTGGTACAAAGTATGGTAAAACAAGATTTCACTCTAATTCACAAATCTGCTGTAAGTTTTCCTTTAATGTAAAGTAAACAAATTATTATCTTAAAATAAGATAAAAGAGTTGATTGTTGTTATTTCTTCTGGCGGCAAATATTTCATTCATATTCAGCATGAAAAAAAGTAAGAGCATGAGCAGTTCTATCTTTTGTTGAGCATTAAAAAAAATAATGGTGTATTTTATGTTATCCATATAATTTTTTCTGTCTACAAGGAATTCCACATATCTAAGTTTCCTATGAGGTAAAAATACATATTCATTTTCACAAAAATACAACTCTTTATTAATTATAATTTTAAATTTAAAAAAATCTGATATGTAATATAAAAATACAAGTAAGTAAAAAAGAAACCTTTTCCCATTTTATTTTCATCTTATAAATGATCTCAATACAATCCTACAGGAAAATAAAGTAATTTTTAAATTAGGCCAATAAAATGCCTTTCAAAAAAGAAAAAAAATGTGATAAATAACCCCAAACAAAAAGAAAAAAAAATGTGATAAATAACCCCAAAAAACATAAGAAATTTGTGATTGAATAAAATGTATTAAATGAAACTACATGTATCAACAATTATAACAAGGAATCTATATTATGAAAAGTTGGATAACAAAACTGAAGTGAAAAGGATTTCTGTGTAAGCTGTCATTTTTGCATTGTTATTTTTTTTCCAAAATCAGTAAAATAATTTATAAAGCAACTTTCTACAAATAAAAAAAATAAAAAAGAATAAATCTTCAACCTTACTACAACTTAGTACTAACAAATCTTTAGATGGCACTATTTTATCAAATATAAATACTATTTAAATATGTTTATTTTTATTCTATAAAGCTTTCCTAACCTTGAAGCTAAAATGTAGCATTTTGATTTTAATATTACAATAATTATGTACATTTCAATGATATGTTTCAATCACAAATTTCAACATCACAACACTTTCACTTAAAGTATATAAATGAAAAAAAAGATCATCACAAATTAAATTGACTATAATGGAATGTTATGTATAAAAACTGGGATGTAAAAGAAGACCCATTCTAAATTCCAAAATAATTACATAAAATATCATAAAGTTTGTAATTATAAATGCTAAAATTGTATTTGAATAAAATGATATGTGATTTTATAACAAATTAAAACTGTAAATCTTTACAAAATTCACAGTAAAATCTATAATTCAAACAATGCTAAATTTAAAATCAGAATTGATAAAATTTGTAAAAAAAAAAAAAAATCCCATTGTCTATATATAAAGAAAAATTACATTCTAAATGTTAAACATGACAAAACAGGTATGGTTTATTAAAATGAAGCACTTTTTCTTCCGATCCACTGCTGAAGTTATGTGCATAGATGCATAGGTTAAAGAAAGTTACAAAGTTACAGATCAAACTCTTCACCAACTCTGGACTGGGTTACTTCCTGATTCTGTAAAAAAAAAAAAATACAAATATTGAAATTATATTCTATCTTATTTTATATTCTGTAATCATTGAACAACAATAACATTTCATTAATAATTCTGTTTTGAATGTTGCTTGAAAAAATTCAAACAAATTATCAAAATATTGCTGAAACAATGTAAAGCATTTTTTGTGTTTCCTTTTTTTTTATATATATACTATTGATTACATTAGAAAGTTTATTAATGGCTGTTCCAGAAATAAAACCGTGAGAATTTGTATCACACAAATGCTGCATGTTTCTGACCTATATTAGCAAAGTAAATGTAAATGTATGTCGAAAGGATAAATGAAAAAAATTGCAATTGTAAAGAACTGAAATATAAAGTTTAATAAATTCATATTTTGTTATAATATCAGACTTTCAATCAAAATATTTAAACTGTATAACATGTAAAACAAACAAAAATAAATGGAGAATGTGTCTATGGACCACAGATGCCCCCGCTTGTAAATATGCATGAGTCAATGTACTAATTATTGACATTTTCTTATCTTTTAAGTTAATGACATATATTTCTACATGTTGTCATTAGAAATTGCTTGCAGGTTTGAGTGCTCTCATTGTTCAATAACATTTGGTTGAGACAAACTAAAGTCAGAGAACGGAAACGACAGATTTAGCAATTTTTCCATTTAGAAAGGGGCATAACTCAAGAATTGTAAAGTGACGCCACCCAATTTCAAACTTGATCTGTGTTTTGTGGTAATAAGCATTGTGTTTAAGTTTTATAAAATTTGGTTGAGGCAAACTGAAGTTAGAAAATGGAAACAAAAAATATAGCATTATGGGCCTTGATCTATCATATTACTTTTGTTCACAATTTATCTCTATAAGGAAAAATTTGAACAAAAATGATCATTATACTTTTGTGATTCATAAGAATAGACTTTACCATTTCTTCATTTAACATGTGGTTAAAGTAAGCTCAGAAGATTAAAAAGCCAAGGTTTACTTTTAATTCCAACTCCCCTATATTCCACTTTTGTAACAATACAGCTGATATTTGCTGGAAGTTAGGGTTATCAACCATAATTCTTACTGGTACCAAAATTTTATTCTAAAATCAATTACCGGTATCTGAAAGTTTTGTCGCAATTTGTCCTATATTTTTCACAAGGTGGCCATGTTCTGGTCATCAACCTGATTTTTGAAGTTTGGTTTGAAATGGTTTAGTAGTTTTGTGGAGAAGATTTTGAAAAAGTTTACATCAGACAACAGCATACTACTGAAAATTGATTCGGAGTGAATGCAAAAGCTCATTGCCATTAAGGACCAGATAAGCTAAACAGCATTAGAAATATATCAACTATCTAGAGTTTGATAGAACATGGGCAAAACAAAATTTGTCCTATTTTTTTTTCCCTGTTTCAAAATTCCAATAGGGAACAAATTTTCTTTTATCAAATTTTGTGTCAGATTCTCTTTTATCAGAAGTGTTTGTCATGTTAGTTGATTAGAAGATAGATTGTAACCAATCTCCAAGTGAAAAAGTGGCAATGCTTGTTTACAACTGTCCTAGAGGCTGCAGTAGAAAATTTGAAAAAAATTACAATGAATGCAAATTGATCGACTTGACACTGGCTTTTTAGGCCAAGTCATCAAAACATGTATATAACATATGCAACTCAATAAATATTATAAGAGCAAGATGTAAGCTGTGGTATAGCTATTAATAAACTGAAGAAAATTCAATATAAGTTAGGAAACATATAACATATGATGAAAAGATCTATAGAAATGTATTTTAAGGTAACTTCATATAAGAAATATGGTATTAGTAATTTGGAGTATCTATTAATTTGTGCACACCACACCATAATATATATAGGAAGCAAGCTTTGGCATTACTCCATTGTCTACAAGATCTAGCCACCTGTCTTGAATACTATGCTCATCACCATAGTGCTACTTTAGCTAAATATTAGTTTTAGGTAAGATAACAGCCTAAACAATATTAAGTTTCATTAAGAAATGAAATGTTGAACAGATGAAACTAATTGACTTAATTGAGAACTAACTTTTTGAAGTTTCAATATAACTTTTATCCAAAAATTCCTAATCAGGTTTTATTTTCAAATCTTAAATAATACAACTAAATGTCATGCCTGTTGCAATATCTCTATTACAAACCTGTCAAATATACAGTCAAAAACTATCATAGTTCACATACAAAATGTCCATCAGACACCATACCCCAGTCACAATATCACATTTCCATGATCAATTAACTGTGACAATCTTGGTCAAAACTCTATTTGGCATATATCTTTCAGTTTTCACACCAGAATAGATATACATACTATTAAGTTTCAAGATGATGTGAACACAACTTTATGGTGAACTATCTAGCATCTTAAACCAATTCTTAAACATGAATGGGAAAACTAATGAACTAATGGATAGAGGCATATACATAAAAGATAGAGGCATATACATAAAAAAAAAATATTGCCCTCTCCTTACCAAGGTAAGTGGGTCAAAATTTAAAAAAAAATGACTTTCATGCATGGTTACTCAGGATCAGACCTACTTCTTGAGACAAACCTGACCAAACAGATAATTAAAATGAGGTGCACCTTACGATGAGTTTTCACAACAGAAACTGTTAACCTGTCATGCATTAGTTACTCAGGAATAGCCAAACTCTACAAAACTTGTTCTGACCATTGGAGATGAGAACAATTCCATGTGACACATGTCAGGTAGTCATATATCTGATACAATGATTGATTGAGTGTTAGTTGCTTAACATCCAGTGCTGTTACAATGAATCCACATACCAAATATCATGCATTCTGACCCTGAAAACTTAAACTGATGACCACTGTCACTTATGTCAAATTGAGGATTAAATATTTTTTGCAATAGGTTATACTTTCACAATCACTGCTGCTGCTAGAAAAGTCACAGACAACACAAATATAGCATCTGAAGATTTTATATTTAAGCAAAGGATATTTTTCACACAGAAAAGATGTGGAGATATTAATGAAAAAAAAAATTATATTAGTATTTTCTCAAATATGATATATTGTGGCAGTGCAGAACTGACAAGAACGTCAAAGGAAGCAAAGCACTATTGGTTTGAACTTTGACCTCTGTATCATCGACATCATCATTATCATCTGCAGCCTCAGTTTCTTTGTCACTGGGATAATCATCTGGCTCACCCTGGGATGAAAGGTGACCATCGTGTACTCTTGAGACCTGTCAATAAGGTATATATCAACATGCAAGTTCATTCATCCATTGTATATTATGTAATACAGCATTCCCAATCAAGCATGAAACATGCATTTCTTTTAAAACGGTATGGGTATGGGATTTCAACTTCACATTATTTTTAGCTATATTCTATTAACCCTTTCTATGTATTATCCCCAAGTATTCTAATATCATTTCAACTCTTATGTTGAATACTCAACCAAGTTTTGTCTTACTAAAATTTTACTATTTCATCCAATTATACCACAGAATTATTCTAATGGTTTCAAAGACAATTTAACAAATAATAAAAAAAAAATTATGCCAAAAGGATATAAAATGCCTTAATGATTCTCAAATTCCTGATGTAAATTTACAACCAGCTCTTACACCAAAAAGATTTTAATTATACTAACAGAAAGTTTTGGCGTATTCAATATTATAATAAATATCATAATAAAAAATGTGGTGCAAGTTATGTTGTCACAAAATATGATGTTATAATATTGACACATATGAATCAAAAGAAGTGTAAAACCTTGAAGTCAGAATCCTAACACTTCTAAAATTTTTGTATAAACTGTGACATAATGATCTATTTCAAAAGGAAATGAAGCAACAACAATGGAGAAGCAACATTTAGGATACCGGACATACAGGGGTAACAAACAGGGGTAACATTGCATTTCTTTAATGAACCAATTCAGAAATTTGACTTTTGTTCTCATAAATTTCATTTCCAGGTTTCTGTATCTTTCCCAACACAATTCCAATAATCATTAGGGCTTTATAGCATGAGAGCACCCGATGCTACAAGAAATGGTTTTTTGCCTCAGCATTGATAATTTTTTTAAACCTGATGCTTTTACTTTTAATGTCAGCTTCAAGTTTCTTTCTGAAAATGTTTTCTTTGTCAGGATATTATTTTAATTCTTTAGGTAGAAAGTTACCATAATGCAACTTCATTTCTGAATTGGTTCTATGTCATATCAACTGTACACAACATATCTGATTGTAGTGAATGTACATAATGTCTCTTTTCTCTCTGACAATAAATATGGAAATTACATCCATTACTAATTAAAGATCATGATAAGGACATTGTCCATTATGGGATTTGCCTCCCTTAGAGAACTGAAGCTATTATCAAATAGTTGTCAAAGAGATTCATAGTCTCCATGAACAAGACAATCTTTTTTAATAATGAATTTATACAGATTAAATACACACATCCCATTCATAAATCATGTTCACAAAATTTTTTTTTTTTATATAATATAAAGTTAATTATTTAAAGATTGAATATTTGAAGATTTAAGTTAATAACTTTGTAAAACTGTTGTCCTCTTTTTGTGTATTCAAATAGACATGACCCGGAGACATGACTAGTAATCTCTCGATAATTAGCATCGAAGAAATAAAGAATGTATTTTTATACCAAAAGCTAAATTGAAGAAGCCCTGATTTGTAGTTTCTGTTACAAAAACTTCAAGGGAATGAAAGTCAAATGGACAGACAGACACACAACCAAACAGAGGTAAACCAATATACCACTCTCCTTCTGAGCAGGTATAATCCTGAAACAGTTTTATCATGTCCCTTTCAGTATAATGGGTGATGTTTATAAAATGTTCTGTATTCATTTGGAAAACACTGAACTATAATGTTTACATCAACAACAATGCTGGTATGATGAATCATACATGTATAAACCCATAGGTGTATACATCTATGGATGAATAGATGACCTATTTTACCAACATGCAAGGGATATCCAAATAAGCTAGCTCCTGTGTATGATTTACTTACTATTTGTTGCCTTAGTCGTTCCTAATTAAAGTGTTAATAAAAATATATAAATATCTGTGTAATAAATACAAACATAATTAATAAAACATAATCAGTTATCATTGTGTCACTTACCACATAACTATGCCTTCATTAAGAAGCATACATAATTTTGAAAATTTACATTTAGCAAATGATATTAAAGACCATCACTTTTATGTAATCAAATCCTGATACTTATAGAATTTAATCAATTTTCGGAGAAAAAAAAAGTACTTTTTCCATTGTAAATCATGTGTTTTCTTGTATACAAACCTTATTTTCTTCGAAACTACTCATTCGTTTAGTCCGTACTCTTTCAGGAGATTCTTCAACAGGGGGAATATATACTTCTGTTCTTACAGCTGTATTTACAGCTTGGTCCCATTCTTGACCAATATGTTCTTTTCCTTTCTTTGACTTGCGTTCTTTTTCTATTCTTTTCCTTTCTTTCTCTTCTTCTTTCTTCCGCCGTTTTTCCTCTTCCTTGGCTCTCTTTATTCTTTCTTTTTCTTCTTTGTGTTGCCTTTTCTGCTCCTCTTTACTCAGTAATTGAAAAGGAGTGTCATGGCCTGGTGGTACATGAGGAGGTTCATGGATTGGTGGTATGTCTATTGGCCTTTCCTACAAATATTAAAGATATATTTTACTTCATCAGGTTTTTTTCTATCTAAAACTTGTCTGATGCTTTATGGAGTCTTATTGTTTAAATAGTCAAATAAAACAGCACTAACATAAATACTTATACTTCAATGGTTATTAGTCTATTATTTAAAAGATTAACATTCATAAAAAAAAATAAAAACAAAAAATAAAAAATTTTGATTATCTATAAATTGTTACAAAATTGATTAAAACTTAATTTTTTTATGAAATTTAACAGTAAGTGTAATTTAGAAGTGGAAAGTTATTAACAACTACTACTTTTTACTTTCTAAAACCTTTGTAAAATGTTGGTATCTACTTATTCTTGCTAACCACTGTATCCAAATGTCACCATCTCTGACATGTACACAAAGGGAAGTAACTCCAAATTAAAGAAATATAATTTTGATAATGTAATTGATTCCATATGTGTTGTGATTAAATGAGTGAAAAAAATACGGAAAAGTTTGACATTAAAATCTCAATTCATGTAGGTCTCTACTTTTCATAAGTACCAAATGACATTAGAATTTACAAGATCTAGAACAAAATTTGTAACAAAGTCTGAAAAGCAAATTATAGTTTTGATCTTGGAGGGGGAGTTGTTATACAACATTTTTTTCTTTAAGAAATCAGCCATTGAAGAACCCCTGGTACATGAAATTTGATGTTCCATATGAACAAAAATATGATAGGATATTAAAAGCATTTTCAAAGTGTGTGTACACATGTTTACTGTGCATCAAAAACTCCAAACAGACTGACCTATAAACTCGCTGAAAAAAGGAAGGCTACTCTCCATGATTTGCCTAATAGTCTTGTCTTGTGTCTGACATTGATAAATTCTTAAAAGTGTTTTAAGTTAGATTAATAAATTTCCCACAGAAGGTGCAGCAGTGATTAGGAATACAATGGCATCATAATCTTTAAACCCTTTGATGATCATAGCAGTAAATACTTCAGATTTGATCGTTAAAATAATTTGACCATTATTTTTGCTATTAACGATAATTGCTCAATTACACTTCAATTTCTTCAACTGAATTCATTGATTAATCTAGAACCTTAAAATATGATATGTGCTTTTCTAAGTTTCAAATATATGACACTCTTTAAAATATTCAACCATGCAATCAATGTAAAATGACAAGTACTTTCTAGATAAACTTAAACTCAATAATAAATGGTATTTAGGCTATCATTTGATACAAATACATAAATAGCCTGGATAATTTTTTTTCTGGAAAATATAAATTTAGTGAAATCGTCATCATTTATCTGAAACAGAGTTGTGTGTTTATAAGATTCAGTCCTTTGAACTTTAGCTTTCAGTAAGTAAATATTCTTTGGTAAGTTTTTATTATTGTTTGTCTCTAAGCCATTTTTCTATCATCTGTACTTCCCATATTATTGAATTGAGTGCTTTTTCTGGTGTGATGTGTTTATATAAATGTACATTCTGCTATTCTTCTTATCATATAATAAGGCTGTCAGACATCAGAGCAATCTCAGACTAGGTTTTGTTATACTTTTATTGACTTTTTCAGGACCCTGGTTTATCTATTACTTCTTGCTACCATCCTTTTGACATATGTATTATTTGATTTCAATATGACAAAGCTTACTGTAAAACCTCAAGAAACATCACATAATCCAACATTGTGATCTCATTAAATTCACAACAAATGAACTGGAATCCTGACTTCAACCCAATACTTCAATCATAAATGTGTTCAATAAAGAATTTGGCCAAACTACAGTATCCTTTCAATATTTAATACTTTGCCATATCTTTATGCATTCTTCGTTTGCCAGACATGTATTTCATCTACATATAACTGATCAGCTGCACTTCAATCAAAACAGCTGATATGCAAAATTATTCTATTTTGGTCTGCTATTTTTTTTTTATTGTGATTTTCCCTCAAATAAAGTATGACATGAAACATACTAACAGTGGCAGTTCATGGATTGCTTTATTATTATTATTATAACATGATACACAACCAACAAGTTAAATTTGGTGAAAAATAAAACAATTCACAACCAACAAGTTAAGTTAAGTGAAAATAAAACAATTACTATAAAATAAAACATGAACAAACATTAAGTGAAATATCTTAAGCAAAGCACTAAATGAAAGGAGTTTCCCAACAGACAGCTGATACTGTTACTTCAGAAATTTAGCAATGTTTTTATTAATGCAAAGGGATACTAGGTTTCACTAAAGTTCAAATTTGCATTCTAAATTTTAAAAGCGTTCTTTGTATGCAGCTTTTCCTGAAATCGCAATAATTAATATCACATTTTTGTCAATTGTTTAACATTCACAGTAATAAATGCATGGATAAATTTCTGAATTTACAGTAATTTCATTTAAACTTGAAAGAATTGATATATTTGTTTGACTAATTCCTGACTGGTCTAGTTCATAAACAAAATCAAATAAATTCTTCCCACATTGTGCCCTTGGGTGTTAAAACATTGAGATATGTTTTGCCTGATTGCACAAATACGGAAAAAGATCATTCTGTCCAATGGAAAAAGTATCTCACTAGGTAGCTTTGCCTATTATCAGCATAAGCAGTGAAGAGTAAAAGGAATCATTACAAATATTCACTTCTTCATGTATTTAATAAAAAAAAATTCAGTACAGTTATTTGGAAATTTTAACTGCAATAATTGATGTTGACCTGCATTTTATGGTTGATACTGATACTACACAATTGAGATTCTGGTTAAAACCTTTTAATTTCTAAGCTCAAACAAAACTACAGATCTGATGTGACAGTACCATCAATCCCACAATTATAAAACAATTCAAGGACATAACTCTGAAAAGGTAAATGCAGTAACAGTGAAAATGGAACTTGGACTGGATTTCAAAGTAGACACTTGAAAGTTTGCTTGTTCTGTTGTTTGTTGGTGTTTAACACCACTTTCAGTTGACTTGACTATATCATGGTGGTCATCAGGGTTCGAACTCCCAACCTCAGTATTTACACGGAATAGATCACTTTAGATGAACGACTAAGACCGCTAGGCCACCAAGGCCCCTATTTCATGTTAGGATGACTTTAGAAATAAATAACTTTGCCAAGGATTAAAATTAAAGCATATAGAATTAAATCTTTACATTGGAAAAGTCAAAATAATAAGTAAATGAAAAGCAAACACAAACATGAGGTAAGCTAATTCATCAACACAAGAAATCAAATTAGTTTGAAATTAAGAGCCATTCACCAAGCATATATTACTGAATTTATACCTATCATACCTTATACTTAACCTACAATTAATTCATCATTAATATTATTATAATACAATTAAGTTCATTTGATTTGGATTTCTGAAAAAAAAAAATGCTGATCAAAGTTCTACCCTATGATATCTATTGTACATGACAAAATCAATATAAATGCAACTCAAATTTCATTTTTTGTTCCATTGATTTCTGAAATGTGATAAACTATGCACATTTAATTGACTTTCCTTAATTTGAATTCTTTAACAACAAATTGCTCAAATCTGATTCAACAATTTTGGTAATAATTTTAACATGGCAAATATGTAACTTTTAAATAACAAAACTTAAGTGTGGTGAAACATAGACTATGTACATTCAAGTGTTTGTGTGTCTGATATGGGAAATTATTGACTAAAATATTATCTGTTCTAAAATTAATTAAAATGTTGAAACTTAGATTTGGTTTTATAAAAAATAAACTGAGATAGATCTTACAATTTTTTTCCTTTCTTCATAATAGAAACAAACAAATGTATTCTCTGATAATACTGAAGACTTACAGGTTTTCTAAGAGGACTTACAAAAGTATCATTTTCTAACAGCTCTTACCAAGTCTAGCAAATTTTGAAAGAAATAAACAAGGGAACTAAATGACTAAAAATACCATCCCGGAAATTTATTATCCCCATGTTTTTAATATTTCAAATTAGGAATAATTTCTAGATAGCTGGCCCTAAATGAATTTTGTATCACACTTTAGCTGGGTGACAATGTGGTCTCTAGTGGTAACACATTAGTATGGACAACAAATTGTATTACTTATTACATCTACACTTATGGATAATATATATAGATTGGTTTTGTCAATAAGATATCAGTCATATGCACAACTAAAATAGGAAAACAATGTGGAGAGTGTGGATAAAAACAACAAAAATAAAAAGGTTATAATAAACTGAACAATAAAAACTTGTAGACTTAAACAATAAATATAGTATACTTCTATAATCTTTATAAGATTAAAATATTTTTATGGCAAGAGGGTTACAAAACAAATATACATATACTTTAAAAATAAAAAAAATAAAATCTTAAGTACTACAACACAACTAAGACAGATAAATGATTGTCAACAGAAACTTCAAACCAGCTGCATAAAATCAGAATCACAATCAATGAAATTTATATGAGCATCCTGTATCTTGGCTAACCAATCAAAATTTAAGATAATCAAAATATTTTGGTCTTCCAAGAAAAAGTAAATAGGGATTCATGTGGCAATTTTTATTTAACAAAAATGCATTACTTAAAAACTTCTGAATCTTGAAACATTTTTACTGTACATTAACTTATATTCAAGTTAAAACTTTTTTAAATTGTCTTGTTCTGATGATCTGAAGTTAAATATCTAATGGTAAATTAATTTACGTAGGTGAAATGTTTTAATAAGCTTAAGCTTGAAAACATACAGTAAAACAGCACTATAGTTTATAGGGAGGAAAACAACTTTTGTAGTTGTTAAGAATGCAAACACACGTGTATATATATATATATAATATAACATTTTGATAAATTGAATTACCTACAGTACCTAATAAAATGCTTTTCGATATTAAGAGATTACAAGATCAAGCTGTCTTTAAAACATTAAAAAGTAAAAATCTATAAATAAATAATATACTGATGTACATAAATAAAACATAATATAATATGTCTGTTCACTCTTATGTATAAATAAAACACTAAAATATAAAAATAACAAAACAATTCATTTTCAAGAAAACTTATGACTGAAAGGATTATAGCACTTATAAAATTGCACACAAAGGACTAGTTATTGATGGATTTAAAGCAGAGGAGACAGGTTTTTATATCACAATATTATCACAGTCATAAAAATGCGTTAGCAAAATCTAAACAACAACCATTGACATTGAAAGCATATTACATATTCCATAGTATACTGAGTAAAAAAAGTTTAGCAACATATATTTTTTATATATTTAAAAAATTTACTTTACCTTTAAACCAATAAACATATCATTGTTACAAAGAATATAACCATAAGATGCAATTTTTACTTAAATATAATCAATGACAATAATGTCTAGTTTCTGCAACTTAAGAAACTTTTATATTCAAGTTTTTTTAATTCAAATATATGTTTCAAAACTTTTTTTCTCAGTATAAGTAAATTATAATTACGTTGATTATAATAAACCTACTTCATCAATTCTTTGGTAAAGTAAATGTTCAAACTGGTTGTTTTTCAATTTATAAAGTCCTGCTAATTGGAATGTTGATTTAATTAAAGAAAATAACCATTATTGCAAAAATTTGAAGAATATTATCTACAAAAATCATTATTTTAAGAAAATAAAGCCTTTAAGCCATACTATTTGCAAATAGTAAGGCACTAGAAAATTTCAAGTTTTAATGTAAATTAAAAGCTACTGAAACGAAATTTCACACATATATCTGAGGACTAGGACACGTACTGTAAATTCAATAATTTTTGTGAGCATTTGTTTTTTGAGACAGTGGAACAATGGACAAAATGCAAGTTTAATGATTACTTTTTTGGGATATGCTGCATACAAATAATTCTATCAAAATCAAATATTTCAGTTTTTATTTTCGTGAAGCCAAATTTAGTAGTATAAACATAGTAAAATTTATGAATTTACAGTAGACTTACAAAAACATTATTTGTAATTTCTCCTTTCTAGTTTAGATATAAAATTTTGATAAAGTTTTGTAACACATTTGCTTTGATCCTCCCATAGTGTACTGACTTAATCATCTTGACAAATAAGATGTAACAATACGGACAAGTGTATTGAAACTGAAATTGTTTTTAGAAATATCTTACAGCAACTTGTACACTTAATGTTTTACATTTTATTTCAATTAACATTTAAAATAGGTTTTTTACACACAAATTGCAAAAAGTATACATGTATAAGGATTTCAATCATTTAGTGGATTTCATGTGCAACAATACAAATTTTGTTTAAATCGATTAAAATGTAAAAATGGTTAATTGAAAACTCAAACCAAAACAGTTCAACAATTTGGCCAAAAAAATTGTATGTGTTCTGATATGTATGTACTTAACATATTTTGTGACAATACATAAATAAATACTTTTGTAATATATATATAAAATTGTAAAAAGTATAATGTTTATAAACTTAAATGTATATAGAGAGATTGTCAGAAGCTTTTATTATGACTTTAAAAAACAAAAAATGTGAACTTATGAAAGTTCATAAAAGAAACTTAATAAAGAAATTGCACAAATAACAATAGTTACAAAAATCTGTGTAAGAATATGAATATCCTCAGGCATAGTTTGTCTGTTGTGTGTTGGCAGTCTGAAGCTTGGTGTTCTGGCTACTGGATTTCTTCTTTGTCTCGGTCTGTCTAGAGGATTATTTAAAGGATATGAAGATTCCCTGTTTGGATGTGACTGTTCCTTTGAGTTTTGATGTGACAGTTGCTGGCTCCTGGAATGTTGTGTGACGTCTGCTGCAGATTGTAGACCATTAGTTGGACAGTTATGTTGTTGCTTTGCTAGAATTTCTGTTGAGTCTTGTTGATTTTCTGCTGACATTTGTGTCTTTGTTGGAGAATCTGACTGATTATTTGCAGGCAAATGTTCAGTATGTTCCAGTTTTACACATTTGGTTTGACTTGAGCGAGCCTTTGAAAAATCCAATACTTCCTCATTTTGGTCTCTTTCTGTTAGATCTGAAGGTTTTGACTCATTAATATTACTACATTTAACATTGTTTTTATCATTAAATGACAAACTTAACACATTATCAACAGAACTGCCATTTTGATTGTTTGTCATAGAATCCTGTTCTCTACCCTCAGTGGAAACAAATTCGCCATCATGTGATGATGCTAAAGCTTTAACACCTATGGTATCAGCTGATAGTGACTCAATTTTGGCAGTCTTCTTTTTCCTGTTATCTAAGCTACTCTCAAAAATACCTGAATCATTCATATCATTATGAGGACTTATTGGATTTTCATTTTCTGATCCAATGCTTGCAGAATTCCCCAAATATTTCTGACTATTATTTGAGTTACCAGTTAATGAATTTATTCTACCCATCCTCCTTGGCTCTTCAGAGTAACTATCTAACTTGAAATCAGAATCAGGCTCATTCAAATTATTTTCTAGTTCAAAGTTTGATGTTTTATTACTAAATTTATCTTTTGTATAATTATGAGTGCCATTTTTGTTCTCATCATTAAATATTGAACTGTTATCTCCAATATTCTGAGCACTTTTTGATACTTTGAGACATGTTTTAATTCTAATTCTGTCGAAGGAATTGAACTGACAACTCTTCGGTCTTTCACCAACGATTTCAGGTATATCACACAAATCTGATACAGATCTTGGACTGGATTGAAGGTTAAATGTTACAGATTTTTCACTTGAAGAAATGTGATCCTCGCAAGTTTTGATTAAATTTTGATATTTTTCTAAGCTTAAACTTCTATTAAATGATCCATTAGTTTTAATCAGTGTTTTTCTGCCTGTGGAATCAACAGACATGTTTGATGTAATACTAGAATTGAGAAGACTTTGATCCTCCGAGAAACTCTGATCTAACAAGTCACAGCTAGATACTGTGTCTGAAGATTGCTGCTTCATTATTATATACTTTTCTAATAAAATTGTCTCGCTTCTTTCAGGATTAAAAACATCTTTTTCAGTAATACAGTCCATTTTACTTCCTTGTTTGTGAACACTTTCTGATTCATTATCTATATCCACTTTTCTTAAACTTGTTGATGACGACTGTCTCCGAATACTTTTCTTCATACCTTCTTCAAATGACTTATATCCAGAATTTGACAGAATAAATGCTTTTCCTTGTGCAGATGGTGTAAAAACTTCATCTTCATTGTAAACAGACAATTCTGTAAGACTGTCATTTTCAGACTGACTAGAATAATCATAAGCATATGAATTTCTTTTTGATGTATTATTCCCACATGAATGATTTTGATTTTCAGAACACAAAACATTTTTACTTTTTGACTGAGCTGGTTTGGATTTAATTAAATCATCAACTTTCACATCTTCACTATCAACAAAATCTACAGAGCTTGAACGTGATCTTATTTCTTCTCTCATAAAAACATCAGTAAAATCCTCAACAGGTTGCAACGAATGTCTTACATCCAGCAAATTAGACAGATCAGATTTTTTTCTTTGAGCAACATTTTCATTTCTTGTTCTTTGGTTTGATATGTCCTCTGAACTGTATGCCTTTTGGAAATCTCCGTTTTGCATATTCCTTGCAGATTGATATTTGCTGTAATAACGGACTTTCTGACGATTTTTCTTCCGATTCAGATTTTCAGCATCTTTTAAATCATCTCGAAATGATACAGATTTTCTAGCAGACAAATCAGAACTACAAGACTTTGATATATAACTATCTGACAAGGTTAGTGGACGATGGATAGGATTTTGGTTAGTACCGAAGCCATACATGGGTTGCCGCCCCTTCCCTTGCCTAGCCCTTCTACCAATTATGCGTGTACGTACCATATCTTCCTCTGGTTCCCGTCTATAATCGTCTCGTCTCTCTCTTCTTGGTTCAGGTCTGTCATCTTCAGGTTGTTCCATATGCCTTGGTTGTCCATTATTATTTTCTGTCTGTTCTCTTTCTTTGTTCATTAATGCCAGGGGGGTTGGGATGGCGTGCATTTTCTCCATACGATGCTTAGTATCTATTGGGTCCTCGTCTTCATCCTCAGACCTATCTGGATCATTTCTGGCAGGTGGTGGTTCATCTTCAGGGTTTCTATCTATATAGTTATCATTACGCACCTCTGGTTTGGGTGGCCTATCAGATGATCTTGGTTCTCTTGTAGGCCTGCTATAATAGTCTGAAAAATCCAAATATTTCGGTAAACACATAACCCATAATTAACATTAAGAGATATACAGTATATAATTATAAAATATAAAGTTTTTGGGATTCTATTGAAGCTTTTAAAACAGACTGAACAAAATATTGATTTGAAAAAATATTAAAAACACCTGGTCTTTGCACAAGCTACAGCTTTGTTTCCAATGTTAAAAAATTCTATGTCCAAAGAATAAATAATTTGTAATTATTTTATCATGAAATTCCTTTAAATGGCAATAAATAATAATCTACCCTCAATTTCATGTCTTTTGTTAGGCCTGCCACCATATGTTGCCCTTTTACTATGAATCCTGTCAAAATTTGGCATAGGCCTATCAACTGCTGATACTGCCATCTTTGACTGATATAATGTACGACCAGAATATCTGAACTTTGACCCAAGTTTTAATAAACCTCTTTTCCTTGGCATGTCTGATTCTTTAAACCTGAAAATATTAAATATATTATCATAAAAAATTATCAAAAGTAAAGTGATTGACACGGAAATACACTACACAGGACAATACCATAAAAAGCAAGAACTTGTTCCTCTATTTTCAAGTTTACCCATTTTAACAAGAAATTCAAACTAATTATTATTATAAGCATTAGTAACAAACAAAAAATTCACACAAGAAATCATCATTAATTTAAAACATACTGCAGTTTTGATTGATGACAGGTGTGTAGTTTAAGATGATTGAAGCTTGCTTAATGTCCAGTGGCAAATTTTTAATACATGATCAGGATGGGAACACATTAACAATTAGATAATTACTACAATACAGGATGAAGTGATGAAAATTAGAGCTCCCATTCAACAATGAAGCTATTTTTGAAAAAAGAAGACATTTGACCTGGAAACAGACCCCTCAGGGAGTTGTTGCAAGGTTTTTTTTTAACTTGCAGAAAGCTTGACACTCACTGTGCAACGGGCATTGGGTTTAATTTCCCTATTCTAATGACCAGACATTGCTGAGTAATTATACATTTTGCAGGGGAACCAGAGTTTGCAATGGTTTGATAGCTAGTCAGGGATTTACCAGAGTCAATCCTTGAGGTCCTGCACTTTATAAATTTTTTTTTTTTAAATACTTGTTTTAGAGAACGTTAAACTTGACTGATTGATCGTACAAAACAGACAATCACTTATTGTCATTTTATTAAAATAGAGAGATTTGGAGTTTGAGCATTCAAAGTTCATCTGTTCTCCAAAAAGGTACAATTTTTACCATTTTCTTGATGAATCTAAAATATCAATTACATTACCTTGAAAACGTTAAATACTGACTGGTCGCATGTTTTTATTTAAGGCTAATGCTATCTGTGCATAAAAGTTTCCAAAGACTTTTTTTATTGTTTACTATTGATAATTTTCCAATATAATTACCTGAAGAATGAATGATGTTCAACAGCAATTTTCCACAGTCTCTTTGAATGTCTGATTGAGAGTAATTTAAATGCTATCATACTTTGAAAATCTTCAAACTGAAAAATGAATTAGTAAGTTTTACAAAACTATAAATGGACAAATAGAAATAGGAATACTTTTTTTGTATTATGAACAATAAGTATTCATATCCATGTTGATCAAAATAATAATGCAAATCATGTGATATTTGCATTAGAACACACATGTAATATGAATTTACTAAAATATGCTATTTTAAAATAATTTAATTTTGGATGTAACACTTCTTCTGATTGGCTGAAAGTGTTTTGTCTATCAGCTCAGACATAATTTTGTCATGTGACCGCGACGTCATCCATGTTTTTATCATGATTTACTCCTTTTTAGAATTAAATTATAAGAAATGACTTTAATATTTTTTCTGTCTATTCAAAATAACATAAAAAATGTGGTGCACACTTTTAAATAACCGGTTACGCGAGTTATTCAGTGTTCACCATATTTTTTATGTTATTTCTTCATAGACAGAAAAAATATTACAGTCATTCCTTAAGAAAAGAAAATATAATAAACATACAAGTTATTTGCACATTTAAAATTTTATTGTTTGTCAACAAAGAATAGTTTTGAGTACAATGTAGTATGACTTGTCACTTTTTGCAAATCAAAAAGTTCATGTGCAATAAATAAATTGAAGAGATATTTTAAATAGTTTCTTTCATCTTTAAACTAAAACATGTTGAAACCATTGTATATTTTCTGTTCTTCCAGTACATTTAAATAAGAAGTCTGACTTACCTCCCCTGGTCTCAATTTGATATAAAATTTATTCCTTCGGTATGACATCTTAACAACCTTTGGCCAAACAAATCTGTTAATTTGTAATTTATCTTTGTAGATCATAACTCCACTTGCACAGATACCCAACTGTATGTCCACACCTTCTCCATCCTGAAATAAAAAATAAATTTTGGTCTGGACAATTCTATAAATTTCTTTCCAGCTGACTGACTACCCATAAAAAAGTTTTCAATGCCAAAAGCATGTTATGCATTTCAGACAAATGTTAAACTTGGAAAGCCATATTTTTGTCAAACTATGATGGTAGTGATGATGGGTGGCTGTTTAAGGTCCAGTGGCAAATTAAATGCATATTCAGGACGAAAACATGTTGATTTGATATGAATATGAACACTTCTATGTAGATGTACTAAACTGACTATGACAAGCCAGGTTTTAAAGATGCTGCATAGACAGAAATGTCTATTGTCAATTTGTCACCCTACCAAAACGCATGATTCTAGATATAAGAAGATGTGGTATGAGTGCCACTACTTATATATCTAGAAGCATGTGTTTTGATATGCATGATTATGTGGAAGATTTCGTCTTCTTTAATACTTGCTTACCTTTGCATCATGAAGATAAACTCCATATAAAGATAACTTCTTGGCATTGTCTAGAAAATGAAGTTCAGCTTCTTCTGGAGTTTGACCTCTGAAATTTAATAAATGCATTTTTTAGATAAAAGAAATTATAGCAACTTCATTTCTTTGTTGATTAGTCATTTTAAATAGAAACAACTTTATTGAGCATGTGACATTAACTGCTGACAGAAATACTAATAAAGTGTACATTTTTCCTTCTTGGCATTGTCTAGAAAATGAAGTTGAGCGTCTTCTGGGGTTTGACCTTTGAAATGTTATAAACACATTTTTTAAATAAAAGAAAGTAAAACACCTTCATTTCTTTGTTGATTAGTCATTTTAAAAAGAAACATCTTTATCGAACATTCGACATTTATAAAGTTTGGAGCAAAACTTTTAGTTTTCAATTTTTTTTAACGTTTCACTATTTTTCTTCTTTGTGAATGTTACTTTTCTTTGCATGTTTTTTTAATTGAATATGTGTATGTAAGAATTTGTATAAGAAAATAAGGGTTTGGGAACTAATATTAATCATCAAAATTTGCATCTTAAATAGTTTTAAACCAAATGGGAGATAATTCTGGCGTTAAAAAGTCAATATATATAGATAATAGAAATTTATGTATTAAAAAAATTTCATGTATTTCATTCATACACAATTGCAGAATATATTTTTAGAAGAATTTAAGTATTTACAATATGAAATCTAAACTGAACTATAAATGTAGATATCTATGTCTTTGCAGGACTTTTAAAATGTATCAGCATTTAACTTATATTCACCCTAACTTAAAAAAAAAAATGTTTTCTATTTGGTAAGCTAGTATGTAAGATGTGTCATAAACAAATGACAAGTCCATCAGTGGAACTGTACTAAAAAAAGCAAACTTATCAAGTTAAGTTGTCTTTTTTAGTACAGTTCCACTAATGGACTTGCAGGTATATATTCTTTGCGAGGAGAAATAAAATAAATATCTGTATGCCCTTATCTTGAATAAGAACTAAAAGGGGGGGGGGGGGGGGGTAGGTGGGGTTACATCCCAAATTTCTGGAAAATTAAAAGCTGAATTCTGAAATCCGGAAAAATAAAGCATTTTTTCTTGGATACCAAAAATTAATCTTAATTCCAGATTCCAAAATTCCCATCAAAATATAGGCCCAACCCTGGCATCCCTAACAAGGTCATACCACCCTTTCTGAAATATTACCAATCCTTTGGTGTCACTTAATGATTGCAAAAATTAAATATAAGGGAAAATAAAAAAAAAAACAAATAGAAATTTCTAATCTACAACCAAAGTAAAAGTAGTATAACAGATGGAGAGAAAATAAGAAAACAAAAATAAATCAAGAAAGATTGTCAAGTTATGATGACCGTTTTTTTCTATATAATAAGTTAACCATACAAATAAATCTACTATGAAAATACCTTTTAAGTTATTAACGAGTCAGAAATTTGTTTTTCCTTTCTGAAATGAAATAACTTCATAAAAAATTGTTTGTGATGATTTGTTTAGTCATTTTAAATAAATGGTTGTATACCTTTTCAAACCTATTAGGGCTGCTGGCATTTAACATAAACTTTCATAGAATGGACATAGTGTCAAACTGGCTCTTGTATAGGTTTGTTTAGTTTGTTCCTTCTAGGCCACAACGTAAATTTCTGTTGTTCTATTAAGCTTATTTTGATAAGTTAATGACATTAAGACCTACTTGTGTGTTTTGTGTAGTTCAACAATTTTCTTTAATAAATCTCTGTCCTGTGTAGGTGCAAATCTCATTCCTTTTATATAATCTACACCGGGACCAAATTCTTCCATTTCCCAGTCTCCCAACTCTGACTGGACTGTATATGACCCCAATAAACTGTAGGTTACAAATGAACATGGCAATCTGAAAGAAAAAAATAACAATTATAAAAAGCTGATGGCTAATTTTCTATATAGTATTCTATTTCATCTTATAAACTATATATTGAGCAGAAACAAAAAAAATTATATTATTTAAATAGAGCACAATACACTATTTAGTCCTATGGTTTACTAATTCATTTCTCATGCATTCTAAAGAATCCGTAAAGTTAGTTAAAATCAATACTGACTAGCAAAAAATATATATAACAATCAAATAGTTACTTTTGAGTACTCTTAAAACCAATTATTTGCACTTTTTAAAATTGATGTTCAAACAAAAAGTTTCAAACTCAACTGGACCTTTAATTTGTCAAAGAGTGTCTTAAATAAAAGCTATAATTTTACTCCTATATATTCACAAAATCACTTACTTTTCACTAACAATATCTCTCCTTATTTGCAAACAAAGCTGGTACCTAAAAAGAGAATAGAATACATATTTTAATTTTATACATAAAAAAGTTCTAAAAAAATGTTCATGTAATGATTTTTTCTAATATGAAATACATGTATGTACAGGTAAACATTTATTACAATTAATTATTTCAATTTTTAATAAGCCTAGTACATTTTTTTTCCTTCTGAAATTCTGTTTTTTCAAATTACTATAAAATCTTAAATTGAGGATGTAAAAATCAAACATAGCTTCTCCTCATTCTTTTTTCAAATTTAGACTTGTTATAAAGCTAGTTTTACTAACAAACTTATAAAGTGCACATGGAGTGGTTCTATCATTAAAGTGCGAATGAAGGGTAAAAGATTCTAATTATTTAATCGCAAATTTAAAGCAGATTTGTTGTGGTGCACTTAATGTTTTATAACATTTTCTCTGGAATTTCAAGCAGCAAAATGGTAAAATTTATTCAGGTTAATATGATCAAATTATACCATACGCTAAATTTGACATCCTTTTAAAGCAGAAAATAAAAATGGCATCAGATCACGATATAAACACCAGAATATAACTGACAATAATCTCAAACTTCTAGAGAACAGCCATATTCAATAGTTGACACTGGTATTCATTCAGCTGTATTTTTTAATTTCTATTACTTGTTTCCATCATAGTTTTCTTGCAATATAAATGGTTAGTTGTCTTGTAAACTTTTGTAAACAAAAAACAATATTTTGATCTGCGTACCCTTCCAGAGCATCCGGGATCAACCCTTGTTTTTGGTGGGGTTCTGACCATTCACATTGCTCAGTCTTTAATTTTCTATGTTGTGTTTGTCTTTTAGTCATTTTTCATTTCATGCCTATCTTCTGCCTCCCTTTTTTCTTTGTTTCTTAGAATATGAGCTTTTCTTTCATGTTCTTTTTGGATAAAATTGTGAAAAATTTTAACAATTTTTTTACGGAGATTGTCACCAGCTGAAGGAATACTAGTTGATCTTCTTGATTTTAATTTTCTTTTTTAAATGGAATCTATATGACCATAATTATAAAGCTTGTGGGACCATTAATTTATTACATACGTTCATCTATTAACATATGTAACTTTACATATAGTATTACCAACAGAGAAATATAGATTTCACCACTGCAACAAGTGTGTTACAATATTTCTCCACTCGAGACAGTTAAATTTTATTATTTAAAGGGCGAGGCTTGCTGAGCTTTTTAAATAATTAAAATTTAAATGTTGAGAGTGGAGAAATATTGTAATACATGAGTTATAGTGGTGGAATCTGTTTCTCTAATGATTTTTATTCTTCCTTTTCAAAGATTTGCAGAAAGTTGTGTTCTTTATATGTGACGTCATCAGGCATGGTCGCCTTTTTTCATGACGTCACAATAGGAAATTCAGAAGAAACCAAGAAAATTTGACGTCATAATTAAATTTCGACCAATAATTTGCCGAGAACAGATATTTCACTAGTGAGGAGAAATATTTTTCTCACACCGATCAAGAAATGTGAAAAAAGCGCAAAAATTAGAGAAACAGAAATATACATCGATACATTATACTGTATACTACAGAATATACTTTTGTCATCTCAAATAATTTAACAAATAATCCTGATTATACTATTGTCATCTTAAGTATGTATCAAGTAATCTGAATATATATGTTATCTTTCTTGTTTGCTGATATTAGTGAATGTCAGGACTTATTTCACATTTAAATAGTTAGATTATAACTATAAAAGTGTTGTTTCAGTAAGAAATAGCATAATGCATTACAATCCACCATAGATCAGTAAAATTGTAATCATTATTTTTGGAAGAAAACTTAAATCCACTGACCACATGCTTCTTAAAATTCCATCACAAAGAACAAGTTCAAAATGTTTTAATGTTGCTGTTTTATTTTATAAGAATTCACTTTTCAGTGGTCCTTTTAGTTTAGTAATTTCTCTTTTTTTATTAAAAATAAACCCAAAACACATGTATAAATTATTTTCTGAAAATATCGTGAATAAAAAAATGGTTTTTAACATTTAACTGTTTACTTTTTTAAAAACAAATTTGTGTGAATAGTGGTTATTAAGGAAATAATGAAATTAATGGATCAGCATTATAAATTTTTTAAACATTTAATGTAATGCTTTAAAAATGGTTCATGTGGAATAATATTTATTACAATATACATGTGTTTTGTTAAGTTTATTGTATTATTAACCTGAAAATAAAATTATATTATTCTTGTATCTATGAAAAAAAGACACAAAATTTTGTAGATTTAGTAATAACTTTGGTTATCTAGGATACTTGTACCTCAATACAGCTGTTTGCCTATAATAATCATACAGGTGTTAACATAGAAATATTTACTTTTATAAAACCACATGTAAATATTTCAATAATTATAATAAAACTTCAGCTTTACTGCATTACAATAATAATGACTTGAAAAATCAACCTAAATAACAAAATGGTTGATTTGACTACATTCCTAATTCTTATTGATCTTTTCTTTAACCATTTTATAATTTTATTATGTGTTGAATTGGATGAGGGATATACAGTAATGAGACATCAACCTCAATACGAAAGATCAATAAACAAATAACACACACATACCTACAGGTACAGCTATTTTTCGGTTGTTCCATTAATTTGTTATGTGTATTTAGCCAATCAGATAGTTCAGAAATTATATTCAAACCAATGTAAACTAGACTGAGGAAAGAGACTATTAATGAAAGTGATCTATAACAGGTATGAACTCCTGAATGAAAGTGATCTTATAATAGGTATGAACTCCTGAATGAAAGTGATCTATAACAGGTATGAACTCCTGAATGAAAGTGATCTATAACAGGTATGAACTCCTTAATGAAAGTGATCTATAACAGGTATGAACTCCTGAATGAAAGTGATCTTATAATAGGTATGAACTCCTGAATGAAAGTGATCTATAACAGGTATGAACTCCTGAATGAAAGTGATCTATAACAGGTATGAATTCCTCAATGAAAGTGATCTATAACAGGTATGAACTCCTGAATGAAAACGATTTATAACAGGTATGAACTCCTCAATGAAAGTAATCTATAACAGGTATGAACTCCTGAATGAAAACGATCAATAACAGGTATGAACTCCACAATGAAAGTGATCTATAACAGGTATGAACTCCTCAATGAAAGTGATCTATAACAGGTATGAACTCCTCAATGAAAGTAATCTATAACAGGTATGAACTCCTCAATGAAAGTAATCTATAACAGGTATGAACTCCTGAATGAAAGTAATCTATAACAGGTATGAACTCCTGAATGAAAGTAATCTATAACAGGTACTCCTGAATGAAAGTAATCTATAACAGGTATGAACTCCTCAATGAAAGTGATCTATAACAGGTATGAACTCCTCAATGAAAGTGATCTATAACAGGTATGAACTCCTCAATGAAAGTAATCTATAACAGGTATGAACTCCTCAATGAAAGTAATCTATAACAGGTTTGAACTCCTCAATGAAAGTAATCTATAACAGGTATGAACTCCTCAATGAAAGTAATCTATAACAGGTATGAAACCCTCAATGAAAGTTATCTATACCAGCTCATCAATGAATGTTATCTATAACAGGAAAGGACTCAACTCCCAACTTTTTTTCAGTGACCACTTCCTCGATTGATGAAACGTGCATTTCCCATTTCTGGTTAATACAAATTTCTCAGGATAACCTAAGTTAGCTAAGGACAGCACACAGTAAGAGCGATGAATGTATAGTGTACTCAACAGTGAATAAAGATTAAGTTGCCTGTACATTGTTGGTATTTCAGTGACAAGGTTCACATTTTAAAAGTAGCAAAATTTATAAAATATAATATTCACATCATTACATGTTCATTATATCTTAATAATTATATTCTATAGAAAAATATGCAACAAAAGATTCAGGAAAAACAGTGAGCTACAAAAACATTCTTTATTTATGAGAAGTGTGAAGTTGTGTAAATTTTTTAGAGTAATTGATATTGTTCCATTTATGTGGATTAAGTATATAGTCCTCAAGAGAAGAAAAACCAGGATAATAATTTGATGGCTATGAACTAATGTTTTGTCAATTAGGACAGGAGAGTGCTTCAAATGAAAGTTTTAATGTGAAATGTCATGCCTTCGATCTTACAAGCATTTTGCTATTTTATGGCCCGATTCAAGACCATATTTTTTTCTAAATTCTTTTACTCTGGAATCAAAATTAAAATTAGGTACAACAAATGCATTCCAAACATGCCATTTCTATTCAAAAGATTTTTATGTTTAAAGTTAATACACATTTTAATAAACAACAAATCTTATTTTGCAAAACAAAACTACATTAAAGTGAAATGATGATTAAGGTTAATTAAAAATAAAATGGTTTCCATACTAAATAAAACAAACATGAATAAAAGGAGATATGTGATATACATGAATAAGACAGAAACAAAACATCAAAAATTCCATTTCTCTCAAATCACATTAAAAAACATTATAATACTGCAACTTTCAATTTTAACCCTTCATGAATATGCCAATGCAATTCACATACAGCCATAACAAAAATGAAAGAAAACAGTTTTATAAATATATTCATATATTAGTACATTCATTACCTTGTTAAATCTTCATGCAACTGGTGAACATCAGTTGGATAAAATTTTATTTCAAAATTAAAATGCCATGCTTGATCTAAAAAGCAAAATGAAATCATGAAAGCAACAAAATCCATATGTATCTTTCCAATCAAAAGAAATGACTAAAAAGAACTTACAATTTTAGAGTTTATTTATGTACAGCAACGTCATTATAGTATACTTTCTTCTTAATAGAACTCTTAGAAGGTCGCAGTTGACTTTATCAACTTTTACAAAAAAAAGTTTGGAAATGCAAAATGAAAGCGCAATTACTCGGGTAACTTAAAGGTTTAAAACAGTACAAAATAATGAGATGAATTATGAGTTACAAAAGGTTTGAAGTAATTCCGTCAATTATACAAGGTAAAATGTAGGAGATTTTGCAATGACAAACTTCTAAATACATGCACATGTTTACAAATTGAGGATGCAGACCTAAACTCTGGTATGTGGTGGTCCCTTATCTATAGACTTGGTATTGGATAGTTTTCATTATCTTAGGATCTTTTAGATGATTTCTATTCAGCTTATTATTTCAGTAGTTGACACATACAGACATTAGAAGACTATCATATATACTCTACCTTTCATTTGTTTTGATATTTTCTTATCTAAATTCAACCATGACTGAAAAGTAAAAGAGAAACACATTTAAAATATTAAAGAAAACTTTGGTCAACTAAATTATACAACAAGTATAATTTCTTATTTATGAAAATCTTTTGAAGTTGCATCATCTTAATTTTCAAAAACAATATATTTTTTTTAAATATAGAAAAAAATCATCATTCAAGTACAGATCGGCATGTTTGGCTGTATTTTTTTCCTCACACCAAGATTGAAAAATTCTAATTGTCCTAGATACTGTAAACAAATTTATTTTTGTTGATAATTTTTCTGTCAAGTCCTGTCTTCCCAATTTATTTTTCATGATTTTAAAAAAAAATCCTTGGTATATTTTATCTAAAAGATCCAAGATTAACATTTTTGCAACTATTTAAATTCACATTCATTTCCAGAGTTAAGTCTGGTTGCCATTTTGACCACCAAGAATACAAATACATTTTTTCCTGTGAAAAAAATGCTTATTTTCTTCTCTTTAAAATTAGTTGGTTTATGGTACTGACTGCAGATGTTCTATGAGAATGGTTGAATATCTGTCTATTAATTATCGAAGTTTGAAACTATTCTATCTAAGTTCTGTATTCGGTTACTTTAAAAATATCAATAGAATTTATAACACAGTTTCCTAAGAATAAAAGTTGGACTTACTTCTAAGCTAGTTTTTGGATCAATAAAATTCAGTCCAAAATAATCTTTTTCTAACAAGTCAAGATGATCACAAACTTTATCAAACAATACCAAACCAACTGCTTTTTTCTAAAATAATAAAAACAATATATATGGTCAAAATATTCAGAGAAAGAGGCAATCAAACATACATGTTATGCAATCATCAAACTCTTAAGTGAATAACTGTTATGTTTCAAGTGTCAAACTTGAAAAATATGACAGGGTAAGTCAATTTAAGTAAGAGACTAATAGTATAGTATACAACTAAAAAAAATGTATGATATAAACTCATAATTTCATATATCTTCGCTTGATCACCACAAATGAAAATCCAATTTCTGGTTAGAAGTAAAGTTACTGTCACATATGTCCACCACCATTTATCATGTTTGAGGAAAAAGATATAGTCTTGCAGAAATTTTTCTATTGGAAATCACAAAGAATTAATTAGATGTAAGAATAAAACAGATTGAGGTTCACAATGCCTTAAATGAAGATTTTCTGAAAAATTCATCAGAAAATCATGTTGGTGGTTTGGAATGATGATGGATAAATGTGTAATGTTCAGTGCCAAATATTACAGGCATATCAGGATGAGAGCATTCTAATGTGGTATGAAGATGAACCATACTTTGTACTAGATTAATATCCTAAGCCAGCTTAGTACATGTAACTGTACATGTTGTGATCCCCTAGATTATTGGAATGGATCATGGGTGTAATGTTTTTTTTAGCGTCAAGTGAAGTCTTGTATTTGTAAGCAGTTAAGATAATGGAGATCAAACAAAAATATCACACATTTTTATTTAGAATGTAAACCATGGTTAAAGTATGTGACTTTGCCCATTAAATTTGAAATACCTTTTGGTTTTTTCTTTTAGTTTTGTCAAGCACATTCCTATAGCACATTACGATAGAAAGATACCAGATTATCAAAAAGTAACTATATAGTAAATTGCTTTATTTTAACAATCTACACTGTAGAAAGTTTTAATTCTTTGGTTCATATAAAAACATTATTTTATAGATCACTCACTCACAGGCGGCATATATAAACTTAAGTGAGCTCAGCTAAACCCATAAATTGATCAAATTATAATGTTCTTGTTCCTCATACCTTTACTGAACAGTAAATATGGTACACGTATAAGTTCGTTTTGTTGTAAAAATTCCAACTTTCAATTTACCCAGGTGTGAAAACAAACGAACACTTCCGTGATATAAATTTTTTATTATTTCTGCAAATTTTCTAGCTTACATCGACATCAATGTCGTACGTAGTTCCATCCAATAATAATACTCTGCAAATCACACTCCTTCCTGAACTAGCAGCTTGGGCAAGGCGTCGAGTTTTCTCTGGGCTATCGACGTTGGCCATGGTTGTTTACAACTTTCTCTTGAGGTCACCGGTTTTTCAATAAGATCAGTTGCCTATAATAATAAAAATCACATATTTATTTGCAACTGTGATTGTCTCTATTACACAATTACACTATATGTATTATTGGGGCCGTCCTTTAGCAAATTAAGTAATATACCTGCATGTGCAGGTGAAAATGTCGGATTGTTTACATATAAAATCTGACTTAAATGAAATAATTGCCTACACATTAGCAAAACATTCTGGTATTATATTTGACGAATAATATAATGAGACCGAAACCCTACCTTGAATTGGAATTTAGGTCAACAATTTCGAAAAGGTAAACATATCTATATCCTCTCAGATGTCAAGCCTATAACGCTCGATTTTAGCGCCACCTATGAATAAATGATGTCATAACTCAGGTATGATAGAATACGGATTTAAAGAATTGTGAAATTATTCAAAACGAATAGTTTTAACTAAATCTCGCTTAAACATAAATTTACTGTTTTAATATTGGTAAATTAATGGGATTCATGACTTATTTTCTTAGTAAATGGCCATTCGTGTCGGTATAATATTAAACCGTGTTTTTGACCCAATTTAAAAGTACACCGGACTTGGTGATGACACATTGGTTTTTCTTATGACTAGTATCTGAATTTCAGCTCGGAGCCAACTTAATGTCCATGGATCCAATGTTTCAGTGATTAATAAAAACTAACCAAATTAATCACGAAATCATAATGCGTAATTGATCTGTTAGTTGTATTTGCAAATGACAAACTACTGGTAGTTTGATCGTCTTCCCAAGATTTCAAGATTCTTTATTTCTCAAACACCATATAGTTACAATGGTACAAAGAAATTCATCAAAAGTTATAACATAACATAAACACACATGACAAGATGAGATGAAAAAAATTAAAATAAAATAAACAGTAGTGACGAAGATTGGTGATTAACCAGGATACCTCACTTGAAAAGTTATAACCCTGATAGATTTGCACAGCTTTTTTAACTTTTAATATTTTCCCCAGTTTTATTGCTAAAATTTATGTATTACTAAATGGTAATTTTGTCATATGAATCAGGGACTTTCTATACTATAGTAAATAGACTGTCCCTGTATGGATACACCCCAAAAAACATGATATCATTACAAACTTTTTTTTACACTTTCATAAAACCATGAAGGACTGAATTGCGTATTTTCAAAATATACGATGCCTTGTTTGAAATTTACGTAATTTATAGAAAAGTTGTAAAGACTGGACCCAATAGATAATGTAATGCATCAATGCTAGGACCTGAGATTACTATATCACATAATGTGAACAGTATAAACTCAGCTTGGACTAATGCTCGTGTCCTAATGTCACAGCCTAGTGGCGTAGGAAAAGACTGAAAAGATGAACAGCAAACGTCTAAAAGTGACAAGCCAAAAAAAAAAAAAAAGAAAAAAAAAAAAAACTTCTGTAGTGTAATAGTCTAGTAGTTAGACAGTTAGTCTTCGAAAATTATCAAACATGTCGGAGAGAGTTCAATAGCAAATCGACACTTTTTACACTGAAGTGCTTTCAAAACTTTTGAATGTTAAATATTCTTTACACATTTTTAGTTGATGTGGCAATACTAAATTACTGCTAGGTTAATATTTCCTTAAATTTCTCAATCAGAATTTATTAGTAATGTTTGGCTACAGAATTTGGTTGATAATGAAGTTCTTAACAAAGCAAACCTTCCACAATAACGTATGAAATGAGACGACGTTGCGAGCTCCCACAAAATGACAAAAAACCCTCCACATTGCATGCAAATAAAATTGAGAATGGAAATGGGGAATGTGTCAAAGAGACAACAACCCGACCATAGAACAGACAACAGCAGAAGGTCACCAACAGGTCTTCAATGTGTCTGTACCAAGTTAGGAGCCTGTGATTCAGTGGTTGTCTTTTGTTACTGTATGTCATATTTGTGTTGTTAGTTTTCTCGTTTGAATTGTTTTATGTTTGTCATTTTGTGGCCTTTTATAGCTTGCCTTGCTGTATGGGTTTTGCTCATTGTTGAGGGCCGTATACGGTGACTTATAATTGCTTTTATCTTCGTCATTTTAACCTATATACATCTGTACACTTGGTGGATTATCTGACCTCTGATAAAAACAATTGTAAAACTGGAAATCAAGGGATAAATTCGTTTGATTCCATGTACTTTGAGTAAAAAAAAGGCAGGATGAGCAACTTGGAAAAAAAAAGAGGCAGGATGACAATTTATGTAAAAGAAGTCAAGATAAACTAATAAAAAAGGCAGGACCGAATAGAGTGAAAAATAAAAAGGCAGGACAGAGATTACAACTAAAAAAATGCAGGACAAAATTTTTCATCCTAGCCCCCGCCCCCCTTTTCCCCCCATAAAAATCAAATGGTAGCTCCCTTAAACACATTATTAAGAGAGAGATATGGCTGGTGAAAATCGAACGAATACAGAAAATACATCGATGAAAATAAGAGTTGGTTATTTATTGTAAGATTTATATTGCAAAGTCTAGATTATAAAGTGATTTTGGACAGTATTAAAATGTGTGTCTTGAAATTATGTTACTTTCATCGCTGTTATTGTGAGAGATTCGTCTATACGCATATATTATAAGAGGGGAAAATAACGATTAACATACAAAAAAGGTACAACCAATTATATCTGTCAAAACTGGGCGGTGCTAAATAACTCCCATGCTGTTACTTAAATGACTGATATAGTCAAGGGTTATAAAGATAGGTTTGACTTCAATAAAAGTTTCAAGTTTTCACATTATAATACCGTGATCGTGAGAAAAAGAAACTTTTACCTGTGTAAAGTTAAAAATTATACGGTAATCTACAGTGTGTAGTATAATAGTGGTGTTAGTAATTTCTTTGATTTTATTTTCCCTCAGATCATACCATGACAAAAGAAAGTTAAAACAGTAAATAGTTGATTTGAGTTTTTAAAGACATTTTTTCTGTATGGTGTGAAATTGTCTTGTCCCGTCTTTCCCTGTATACGTAGCCAGAGTCATGTCTCTGATATAGCTCATCCACTCGCTAAGCGTTTGTCATAAAACAGTCAGAACCAGGCTCTCACGAACCTATGATACTCGACAATAGTTTGGAATGTTTTACACAAAGGTTGGTGGTCGTCTATGCGGATATAACCACTTTGCTTCTTATGACAAAACAATCCAGTTAAACTGGTTGAAAACAAAATTAAGAGACTTACAGATTAAAATATGACATGAACATGCTAAGCAGCGTTGACCTGTCATATATAAAAACCGAGGAACAAGCCTATTTAAGAACATGACCCGACAACTGGAGCAAAGGCAAAGGTAATAAAAATGGACAGACAGACATACACTCCTAGCTTGCAACGAATTGCGAAATGCAACGAATTGTTATACAATTTGTAGTAATATCTGACAGAGTTATAAAAAGTAAATAACAAAATACCGAACTACAAAGGAAATTCAAAACGGAAAGTCCTTTATAAAATTGCAAAATCAAAAGCTCAAACACATCTAACGAAATCAATGGAAAACAACTGTCATATTCCTGACTTGGTACAAGCATTTCCTTATGTAGAAAATGGTGGATTAAACATGGTTTTATAGCTAGCTAAACCTCTCACTTGCATGTATGACACTGCATGAGTCGATAAAGGGATAGTACTAATCCCGATTTTGTTCAAGTGACAACAGGAAAATTAGCCCAAGGGCATCTACCGGTGTGGTCAGATTGATTATATACTTGTTATAAGCTAAAATACAAATATTGTTACCTTTCAATCATACTTATTGAGAAATAGAACTTGATCTCTAAAAATCAAACCTTAAATATTATAGGTCATATAATGAATATCAGATGGACGTAATATTTGTAATCCTCATACAAAAAAAATCTGAAATGGCCTGCATAGCTACTGTAAAGCACTTAAACCAGACGGAAAGGAGGATGTATGATAAGAGCTATTATTTGGTCTGAAATTTCAGAAATAGTATAATTATTCAAAAATTATGTAAATTTTATTGATAAGTGAACAGGTTGATATAACTTGACATTTGAGTGCAGAAAGGACACTAATGATGACATGGTCATAAACATGTCAAAATTGACATATTTGACCTGAAATGACCATATATAAATGTTTGGACAAAATAGACATGAATCAAAGGCGCGGATCCAGGAATTGATGTAAAGATGGGACGAACTTGAGAATTAATTATGATTACAGGATCATATTTTGACAAAAAAATTACGGTAATTTAAACTACAAATTAGCTACGAGTGCGGCCCTTCTGAATCCAAGCCCTAACATAAGAAGATTGTTTACATATTATAACAGCTTTGTAAATACATCTGGTAACAAAAGATCTTTTTTGGATTAATCTTTTAATTTGGCTGAAACTGAAAGTCGGTCGGATTATCTCCGGGTAGTCCGGCTTCAACCACCAATAGAAACTGACCGCCATGATATACCCAACAGCACTAAAAGTGGCGTTAAACACCAAAAATCAATCCACCAACCAAAGTTGCGCTAATTTGGCTGTTTTACAGTTAAATACAAGAAGTTAGGAATGGCCTTATCATACAATTTTCTTTAATCCACCACTTGACAGTGAAAAATGATATTATTAAGGTCGGGCAACAATGCGGGTGTGGATGGGGTTTACAGAATAGAGAATAATGGACAAAAATTATAAGAAATAGAGAAAAATGGACCCAAAAAATAAAGAATAAGAATAATGAGGTGCTAAAATAGAATGAATAGAGAATAATGGCCAAAAAATTAGATAATACAGAAATGAGGGACCCCCATAGAGACACTCAACAATCCTCCGCGAGCAAGGTCTTACCATGAACAACCTCCATTCATGACATATTTTTATCATCCCCAATCAGGTAGGTTTTATATAAACTATAAAACTGTCAACTAATACTTAATGACTCCCGAAAGTCTAACGCGTAATAGATTCGAAATGAAAGTTGCGACAGAAGCAACGTAGCTGAACAAAATGACATAAAAGGGACCTTTAATGCTACTTAACTATATGCATTTTCTGATGAACTTTTGAAGTATGGTTTGCAATTAAATTTATCTTGGGTGATTTTAAATCGGAGCAAACCTTAATTGATAAAGATGAACTCGGTGCTCTATATGGCTCAATCAGTTTATGCCCCTCAATAATGACATTATATAAGGATACTCATATATCTAACACAGACTTTGCACTGGAATTGAAATATCCAGCATTGATCAGACTGTCTTTTATCTTGGTTCTTTAAGTGGATTGTAAATCTCAATCCACAATAAGCCCAAACAATGGTTATTTCCCCGACAAAGACCGATAAACCTTGCTAGAAATTCTGACATT